TAAGCGATACATTACAATAAGCATAGACGGCCTTCTCAATAAGGAAGCACATTATGCGTTTATGGTTTTGGGGGGCACGGTGTTTGGGGGATTAGCTTTGATTATTATGTCTGTATGTATTGTAAAGTATTATAAAATTGTTACAGCTTCTAGTTCTGTAATCGAGTCTGGGTGACGTTCAGACCAGGTTCTTACACTTTACTTCCCATAAAAGATACATACTTTTATGTTCAGTGGGTGTTAACACCGTGCAACCCGATACAAGATTGTCGTATGTGTCTGGATATTTATGACAGAATCTGTATTTCGAGTTAACAATTTTTCAATATACGTGCTTGGGAATTTTAAGCATCTTTTCTGTACAGCAAGACTAAAATTTTCAGTTTCAGCTTTTAACACTGCACTATGTACCTACTGATGGTTACTTGCTTTATCTACATAAGTCCGTTTGGTAACAGAGTATAAACTATGAAGAGGCTTATCTTAGCATCGTTTCTGCAATTGACACATGACAGTTGTTTTTGCTTTCTATTATTAGATTCTTTGTCGCTTCAATAGGTGTAGTAGGGTTTATTTGAACTTCTTCGTCCACTTGAAATTACCTTTTTTTTTGGCTTCCTTTATTACTGAATGAAATTTCTTATTTCTTTCATGTTCTTTGACAGAGATGATCATCCAATCTTCTGTAGTTTCCAGGTATATTTTCTTTTAATTTTTTGTGGTTTTAGAAGACAGTCCTAGTTGAACTAATCCTTTGCCTCCTTCGGATCTAGACTCATACAGATATTCAACATCAGCCTTAGGATGATACAAGCGGTGGCAAGTGAGAAACTTTCTCGCTTTCATATGTATTCGCTTAATGTCAGCTATCGTCCAAATAAGGATGTTGAAACTGTATGTTATCCCTGGCACACACGAAGTGTTTATGACTGATTTTCTGTTTTGTGAATTCACCTGGATATTTAATACCAGATGCACACGCCTGTGGTATCCTTTTTTCGCATTCATTTGTTTATGCTTTAGTACATCTCCTTAGCTGACCCCTAGGTATTTATAGGCTTCTTCTTGTTCCAGTTCCCTAATCCTTGTGACAAAATCAACATTTGTTTTTGTGTTTCTATAATTCTACCGTTTTGAATTTTACTTTTGCACTTTTATTTTATCTGGAACTCATATCGATGTCATCACTGAAACGTTTTTCAGTATCAATGATACATTTCAACTCATTGTCGTCGTTTCCAAAGAATTTGATATCGTCCATGTCGAATAGGTGATTAAACACATTTTTTTAACCTTTTATCTATAGTTACTACTGTTTAGTTCATGCGAAAGCGAGATTAAGGACAGACAAAACAGAAGGAACGGCGGGAAGTCTACTTGAAAGATTACCCGTTGGATGTTAAAATATCTATATACAATATTAGAACTTGTATTAAATTTGGTGTGATTTAGGTCTGATGTGGTTTTCCACACTTCCATGTTATATTTAAAGAAACTTACTATTGCCGAGGTGACTTTGTACATTTCCAAAGTCTTAAGGATTCAAGTGTGGGACACACTATCGAAGTCTTTACGTAATCTGTCCAAGCTGTGCTGAGATTTCTAGCTGTTTCCTGAATTTTTTTAGTATCATTTTATTTATTAGTAGTTGAGGTTTGCAACCATATGAACCGCTTGACATCCCTTCTGTTACCTTTGCTTTCATTGGCAAAAAAGTAAACTCAGATTGTCAGAACAGACGTGATTAATTTATATGTGATGGATAGACATGTTATTGGCCTATAATTTTTTGGTCAACTGTTTCACCTGTTTATGGTAAAAGATATATATTAGCTTCAGTGATTCATTCTGGATTTTCATTGGGGCTAATAATTACTATTGATAATGTCTGCGAAAGTTTTATTAATTGATGATAGATCATAGAGCTAAAAGTTTGGTAACTTGATATTTCCTGGGGATTTCTATTTTGGGGATATTCTTAGCGCTTGCTTAACATTATTTTTGTGTATTTTGTTTCCATTCTTGTACAGGATTATCCTTAATTCTTTCTTGTTCTCGTTTGATCTATACTGCATTAGCGCTATATTCCTTTGGATTGGTCCAAATATTCCAGTAGATTTTATACATTTCTTCAATTGATGGTGGCTTTTTTACATCTATAACTGCTTTTCCAGTTTCCCTGTAAAACTTCTTGCCTTTGTTTGGAATATATTATTATTATTATTATTATTATTATTATTATTATCTTCCTTTTTTTAGATATTTTCGATTTGTCCAACTTTCGCCTATTTTATTTATACCCCCTTCTAGCCTTCTTCTGTTTGCTGCCATTTTCTGGAAGATTTCGTTGTTTCCTTTTTTTCCACTTTTGGTTCCCCTGTTTATTACTCGTAAACTACTCGTAAACTTCCTAACTTTTCTTCTTTCAATCTTTTTTTTTTTTTTTTTACTTTTCACTTACTCTTTTCTATTGGTCTCCTTTCCCGCCTCTCCAATTTTAGTAGGGCTTCTCCCCATAAATCTTACTTTTTAAACATCCTAACCCTACCTTTTTTCATCAATAACTTTACAACCGTCCTTGCTCTTACATTTCTACTTACCCTGTTCTTTTCCGCTTTCCTGAGCATGTTTGTCTTTCTCAAATCGCTGAAATCTCTTTCCAACATTTCTGGTCGAAGATAGATGAACATTACTTTTTTCCATTCTCTTATTTGAAATCCAGCAGACATTAAATTTATCTCCCTTAGACCTTGCACGACCATTAATGCGAGTAGTGACCACCAGTTTATATGTTACTGTTTTGTTTGTGATGGACTTTTTTTCCTTTTCTGGCTTTTCTACCTTCTGTCGAATTTTTTCTTCTCTTTTTATCCTTCTTTTTTTTTTCCTTTTCTTTCTTTCTTTCATTCTTTCTTTCGAAATAGTTAGCTTTTTGTCCTTCACATTCTTTTGTTGTTATTATTGTTGTTGTTGTTGTCTTTGTTGTCCATTTTCTTCTTCTTCTTCTTCTTCTTCTTCTTCTTCTTCTCATTTATTATTATTATTATTATTATTATTATTATTATTATTATTATTATTATTCCAGTTGCTACTAAGATCCTTATTTATTTAGTTAAGATAGCTTGTACACTACGCCCTGGCAATACTTTATAAATACTGGATTATTCGTTTTTAATTACGAAGAAAGACGAATGAAACATAGCGGAGACGCTGTATGGTTTCAGTAACAAAAGAAAGAAAGAAAGAAAGCAAGAAAGAAAGGAAGAAAGAAAGAAAGAAAGAAAAAAAGAAAAATGTTGCGATAATGCTTTCATGCATTTAATATCTGCTTCGGTGAAATGGAAAACCTTGTCAATTATAAATCATTCCATTTCTACCGATATACTGTAAATAATGACACAAATATTTAAAGATTTGATAGGGGAAATTATATTATAGCCGAGAAACTCTTAATAATCTCATTGATATATAGAAATAAAACGACGCTGTTGACATTTGAATTTGAACATAGATAGCCAGTGAGCAACCAAAGGCGATCCCATTATTGAATTAGGTAGACCACGTGACCATAGAGGAAACGCACACGTCGAAAGTCGCGTGACGACTAACGATCTGCAATTCTAGATTATCCTCTATTACAATACGGACTCTATTCTATTCACTCTACTATTTTTCTGTTCGGATCTTTATGCAGATTAATATTCGAGCGAGTATTATCGAGTAAGTACTATTAGTGCGAGTGTTATTCGAAGGCGTCTGACACAAGTATTGTTTAACGGCGTTTCTATAGTTGTATCTGCGATTACAAAGTCTCTACTACAACGAGAGTTACGAAAGTGACAACGAGTATTGTTGACATTACCAAAATGGCAAAGAGTGTTCGCTGACATCAGAAAACTTAGAGAATCATTAACTTAAGTATTTATGACGATTCAGAAAATTCAAATAGGAACACCGTGAAATTTTCAAGGGTCTTCAATGTTGTTGTTATTGGTAGTATTTTCTTCTTCTTCTTCTTCTTCTTCTTCTTCATTTACATTATCTTTTTTTATCTTAGTGTCATTCTCTTCCACCTCTTCATTCCTCTTCTTTTTCGCGTTCTTTTTCTTCTACTACTTCATTTCCACTTTCTTTATGTCTTCCCTTTTTTTCTCTTCCACGTACCCATTTTTCTCCTTCTTTTTCTTCTTCGCCTGTTATTTCTTCTTTCAAAGATATAATTCAGTTCTTGCATTTTTTTACTCAGTAATTTTGTTTAATTAAATTGTGCATTTCTTTTACAATTCCTTTTTTAACTTTTTACATTTTTTTTTACAAATTTTTCCTCTTCGTCTTCTACTGCCAATTCTTCATGCTTTATAATTTTCTTTATATTTCATATGTAAATTCTTCACTTCTGGTTTAATTGTCATGCACAAACATTCCCTCTTTCTCAGGCATACTCTCATTTATATATATATATATATATATATATATATATATATATATATATATATATATATATATGTATATATAGGGTGCGGCACAAACACCCCCAACATATCACTCCAATAAATACATTGCACATAATGTCAAGAGATTACCTGAATGAATTTACTATTGCTATTAATGTCATACCATCAGAATTGAGATCTGAGAGTTATATTCAGGAGGCTCTCTCCGTCTTTCACCCTCCTCTCTCTCCCTCTCTCTCTCTCTCTCTATATATATATATATATATATATATATATATATATATATATATATATATATATATATATTTGTGTGTGTGTGTATATATGTGTGTGTGTGTGTATATATATATGCATTTTTATATATATATATATATATATATATATATATATATATATATATATATATATATATATATATATATATATATATATATATATAAAAAGAGAGAGACAGAGAAAGAGAAATATATACTTATTCAAATATCATCTCATCTTTCTTCATTTTCTTTTTTCTTCTTTCGGTTATTCATCTCTTCATTTATCATTATGTTCTTATTCGCCGCCACAACCCATCCATCTATCTATTCATCTATCCTATCCATCCTATCTATCTATCCATCTATTTCGCTCCAAGCTCTCTCTATCTCTTTCCCTATCTCTCTCACATGCACACCATCATCCATCATCCATCCATCTATCTATCCATCTATCCATCCATCTATCTATCTATCTGTCTGTCTATCCATCCATCCATCCATCCATCCATCTATCTGTCCATCTATCTCAGTCGGTCCACATCATATCATCTATCTATCCATCCATCCATCCATCCATCTATCTATCTGTCTGTCTGTCCATCTATCCCAGTTGGTCCACATCCATCCATCCATCCATCCATCCATCCATCATCTATCCATCTATTCATCATCTATCTATCTATCTGTCCATCTATCCCAGTCGGTCCACATCATCTATCTATCTATCTGTCTATCTATCCATCTATCTCAGTCGGTCCATATTCATCTATCTATCTATCTATCTATCTATCTATCTATCTATCTATCTATCTATCTGCAGTCTATGTCTGTTCATGTCTGCTTGGTCTCTATACATCAAAGTCATTCTATATCTATCTATCTATCTATCTATCTATCCATCTATCTATCTATCTATCTATCTATCTATCTATCTATCTATCTATCTATCTGTCTGTCTGTCTGTCTATCTATCTATCTGTCTGTCTATTCTCTCTCTCTCTCTCTCTCTATATATATATATATATATATATATATATATATATATATATAGAGAGAGAGAGATACTTATTTACATATTATCCTATTCTTCTTCTTCTTTTTCTTCTTCCTGTTCTTCATGACTTCATATATTAATATTCGTATCCTTCTAATTCTTCACATTTTAATTTTCTTCTCATCTTTCATCGTTTTTCCCCCTCTCCCATTTCGTTTCTCTCATTCGCTTCTTTGATTACGTCCGTTACCATCAAAATGGTCGGATGCATTTTTCCCTACAAGTCGATAATAAAATATGCATTTATTGCATGCAGCATTGACTTTTTTCACTCCACATTCTATTTTTAATCTTTTTTATTTGGAAATCCTCTGTTAATAGTGGCAAGAAACAAACCTTGTATGCCATTTTTTTTTAGCAAGGAAAACGATGGTCTTACACCGTGATACCCACCACGCATGCGCGCATCTATCCAGCTAAAACGCACTTACAGATGAATCGGGACATGCGAACACTGTCATGAAAGTTTGAAAATAAGTATGTATGCACCTAGCCAAATTACTCACCTTCAGGGAATCATAAACCTGCCGAGATATTTTTAAAATCCATCAATAAAACAAAGAATAACAAGGAATAAAACCTGAATGAACACACAGCGGGGATTGCGTTCTTTTAAAATCGAGAATATCAATTCTAATATGTTTAACAGTTTCAGCAACTCTAACGAATACGCACATATATACCGACATTTGTAGGCTTCCTGGTAATTATTTTCTTCTGTCTCGTGAGATTGGTGTTCATTCGGAGGGTTTGCAAGAATATTTAGCAATTAAGAAAAGACTGTTTACATTATATCTTTATCATTACATCAATGGCATTTCATTAACTTTATTGAATAACACATTTAATGCTTTGGTTCACTTTATCTCAAGCAATTTTGATATTCCGTCTACGGATTTTTTTTTTATTATTTTCGCCCAAAGAACTTATCTAAATTTCTCTTGGAGTATGTAAGAAAATATGTTTGTGTTTTGTTTTTTTTATCATTTGAACAGACAATAACTCTATGTACTTCTAAGAATGATTCCGAAAATGTATATTTTATTTTAAATATTTAGCAAAAAATAATCAAAAATGAAATGCAATTTGCTCGAGATGCATTTTGGAGCATTTCAGAAAATGTATATACAAGGTTGCGGCGGAAATATATATCCCATTTTAAACTGTCAACTGCATTGTTCAAGTGAACTTAGGCAACGGACAATGTGGTTTTCATTTAGTTAATGTCTTACTATTATTCTCAGATAGCATCATGGCTTGTTGAAACTTTTTTTAAAGACTGGTTAATCTGTCATTTCAACGCAAATAGTGTTCATGCGTATTTTATACTATGTTGGAATGATGTTGTTCCAGAGAGAAAATCGATATTGCAACGGACTAAAAAAAAGTTCAGGACCATGAACTCGGCTTTTTAAATTAAAACCAACTCTGGAAGACTACAAAGTGCAACAGAAAATGTACAGGCTCAACATCAACAACATTGTATAAAGGCCACTTTTGATTAAAACTTATACCCATTTGTTTGAACAACACTGAAATATATATATATATATATATATATATATATATATATATATATATATATATATATATATATATATATATATATATGTTACCTTGGTAAGTTTAGCTTACCATGAATATAATAGACAAAAACTTAAAATTCCCGAAGCCAGCTATATCTAAATCATCCAGACAACACTCAACATAATTTATTACGAATATAGCAACAACATGTAAAAGTGCATATAACATTTTACATATTAATTCCATTTTACTGTTCTATCAATTCACGGTTAGCTCTTTTAGATAAATTAAACAATTCAAAAATAACTATAACAGTTCACGTTCGCGCGTTTTTTTCTATGACAGTGGAATACAGATTTTGTTGCAGTTACAAGAGCATATTTGTCTTTGTTATTTACAACTGAGGTCGATCTTAAAAAAGATCGAAAGTACTTGGGTTAAAAAATTCTGCGGCTTCCACTATGCCTTATAGCTCATCCTTCAGCTGTTGAATTGTTGTTGGCTTGTTGGCAGAGACCTTACGTTTGAGATGACCCCGAAAAAAGAAATCTAAAGGTGTCAACCCACATGATCATGGTGGCCAATTAACTTGTTTCGAGAGATGTTGCAATTCAAATTGAAATTACCAAAGACCTAAGCTTTTAAATCTGAAAGAAAACAAGAAAATTCATCAGACGCTTAAAATTAATTCACATTTAAAATCGGTCCAAGTTATTGGAATACTCAATATACAGCGTGCGATGCTATTTGAGGACATTTTGTTTTAAGTTCACTACACACTCAAATCATTTATATTATTTTTTTTTTATTTCAGATAACCCAGTAAGATGAAGATGAAAAGACATGCAGTCATTTTTGCTTTAGCTGCAAAACATAGTGATTTAAAAATCAATAACTTTTTACAAGTTGGCAGATCATTTGTTCATAAGGTTCGGTTGGAGCTAGAGGGATGTGATGGCAATGTTTCCCCTGCAGCAAAAAAAAAAAAAAAAACATTTACAGCGCTCTGACATATATATATATATATATATATATATATATATATATATATATATATATATATATATATATATATATATGTTTGCCTAGGTCTTTATTGTTTTACGTAGTATAAACAAGTGAAGTCTTTTCGTAATAAAACTGATATCAAACGAAATATATGGATATTTTAATATATATATTTTAATATATATATATATATGTGTGTGTGTGTGTGTGTGTGTGTGTGTGTGTGTGTGTGTGTGATTACCACGCCAAACGTAGCTTATAACACCAACTTATCTGGCGGTGGCGAGGAGGGTTTCTCAATTTCTAATTACTCAAATAGATAAAAAGAGGCTAAAAGTCATTTAATTCACACAATATCTCATCTAAGCACATAAGTTATTTTTATGTGATACATATTAATAACGGTTCCTTGACCGTTTCTACAATTCATCAGAATTCCAGACATTTATTTTTTCTCATTTGTAGTTATCATTGCTTGAAGCAGTTTTTATTGCAAGGAATTTTGCGTGAATATTGGCTTCTATTTTCACAACCCCTATAAGGATAGACCAAAATGTTTTCTATTAGATTAATATGTAGAAAAGCTGGAAGGTACAGAATAAATTTTGTGTCTGTGAAATCTTTTGGGGTAGGCTGGCAATGGATTTGCATTGCTAATATTAAAGGAGCATTTTCTTGCATAACCATATTCGTTAGGTTAAAAATTATTGGCTGTAAACATTACCGCTGAAAATGTATTGTACATGAAATTATAAAACGTTTGGAATTTTTTTGAAAGCGTCATTAATTTTGAACAGACCTCAAATTTTTCCTTCCGAAAGTATTTGCTCCACACATTCCTACACCTTACAATACTGTTTTCTATGTTGTGTTAGACGATTGTTTCAAGAAAGACTCAATCTGTCGTCTACTAATCAGGCCCCTACAATGTAGCTCTATATTCATCAGTAAAAATTGTTGTTATTAATCCATATTCCTGTATTGTTAATCCTCGCTGCTCTTTTTTCATATGTTTTTTAAAATATCTTGTTTTATTGAGTTCATAAATTCACCTAATATATTTAACATTTTGTATATTTCTTCCACTTTTTAGATTGGATTATTCTTAAAAGATTATCTTTTTGCTCAATGCAAATTCTTTATTAATTACCTTTTTATTTTTTTTTTCAAATTCATTTTTCTGATCTATATCATTTATTGTTCTTCTGCTGCCAAATATTTTTCACAATCTTTTTCGATTGTGTTTTTGATCTGAGTTCAACTCTGGCAGTTTGCATAGTTGTCCCTCTCTCATATAATAATATTAGAATAGTGTTTTTATCTTCATAATAATGGCTTACGGTCACAACCCAATGAAACATCAGTTCTGGTACGATCACCGTTAAGCAACGTTCATCCTGGTTAGTACCTTGTCAACGTGGGAACACCGGGTGCGTACCTTTGGATGTGCGGCCGCTCTAACGGATAACGGCTCGGAATTGTTAATCGGAGAGCCTAGTTCTTATTTCTGTCAGGTTAGTAATATTCACTTACATGTAAATACCCTTGCGAAAGTTATGAATTCACCTCTTCCCCCAGGTATGGGTTAATTAGTAAGTTTGATTTTTTCCTACCGCTTATCAAGTATTTTCAAAAAATATTTGTAGATTATAAGCATTTTATTTCTGAAGCTAATAGTGATTTAGTGATATAAGACTTACTAATTGACCCAAAGCTGATGGAGAATATGTGGATTAATACCTTTCCTAATCATATTTTCGCGTGAATATAACAAACCGATCTATTATACCGATGTATTATTTAATGCCGAAAACATTTTTAAGATAGATTCGTATGAATAGAATATGTATTCTTTGGTTTAGTTTGGTTTGGTTTATTTTGTTTAACGGCATATCTACTTCAATGTATTATTTAATGCCGACAACATTTTTAAGATAGATTCGGATGAATAGAATATGTATTCTTTGGTTTAGATTGGTTTGGTTTATTTTGTTTTACGTCATATCAACCTCAATGGGTTATTTAATGCCGAGTAGATTTTTACGATAGACTCTTATTTATAGAATATGTATTCTTTGGTTTAGATTGGTTTGGTTTATTTTGTTTAACGGCATATCAACTTCAATGGGTTATTTATTGCCGAAAACATTTTTAAGATAGATTCGTATGAATAGATTATGTATTCTTTGGTTTAGATTGGTTTGGTTTATTTTGTTATACGGCATATCAACCTCAATGGGTTATTTAATGCTGACAAAATATTTTAGTGCTGGTAATATTTTGTTTTGTCAAAAATCTGTTTCTGGTAATATATTTCTTTCAAAATTGTATTGCTGGTAATAATTTTTTCAAAAAATGTATTCCTTGTAATAGTTAACTATTTGCCAAATAGC